CTGATCTGATCCCCCACACCAAAAAAAAAAAAAAAAAAAAAAGAAAAGAGAAAAAAAAACTAAAACATAAAAATAAAAAAAAAAATCCCAGGAAGCAGTGTGTGCGGTTGGTGTCCTCCTTATTTCTCTTTCCTTCCTGCAGCCTTGCTTGGGGTTTGTGCCGTAAAAGCTTTCCTTCGTCTGGTAACGGACGCAGTCGCTCTGGCCGCAGGTAGGCGGACGCGCACCCGAGAACGCCGGTAATCCAGGCCCCCGCTGGATTATACGGCCACAGAAAACAAAAAAGCTTTTTTTTGCCTTTTTTTTTTTCTCTTGCATCCAGATCAGCTGAAATTTGTTTGTTTTAACGAGGGTGCGCTGCATGGCTGCTCTCCACCCGTGGAGCGTTACGGAGCTGCTGTACTCCCACGGTGCTGGCCCTGGGATGCTGGCATCCCGCTGGGGTTGGTGCTTCAGGCATCCAGCAGACGTGGAGCAGAGGTATTTAGAGGAGAAGGGTTAGTCCAGCTTTACTGGGCGCGTTAAAAAGAGTCTGGGGGCAACCTGTGTGTTGAAACGCTGCGGTGGGCAGAGGAGCGGTGTTTCGGTTCACGTGGCGGTTTGCGGTGGATGGTTCCAGCCATCGATGCTCGCCCAAAAGCTCCTTCTCTGCTTGGTCCCTGTGCGATCTGTGAACCTCGGCCACGCTTTCCCCGCCTTAGCCCCGCGGTGGTCAGAGGGACCGCGCACCGCTTCGGGTCCGCTGCCTACTCTGCTTACAACAAACTCTTAATCCTGGTGAACCTGAGAAAGCAAATACCTGCGCGGCTCCTCCCGCACGCGGCCCTTGGAATTAGCCTTCGGGTAACCTATGCAAATTGAGACTCTTGGCATTAATAGTGATTAATGTGCTCTAATTTTGCTTTTCTAACGTGACCTATTTCACATCCAGACATCTGCAGGTGATTACAGTCCCGGGCCGGAGTATTTCCCCAGGGGCCTGCGGTCCGTAGCGCGGCTCGGACGGGACGCGGGCTGGGGAAGGGCGCGCACGGGCTTGCCTCAACGCTGGGATCCCAGGGGGAACGCCTCGGGATTTTCCTGTTGGTTCTGCCTGAGGAAGGACCTTTGGTGAAGCTGGAGATCGGTTTGCACAAACTCTTGAAGCTGGGGAATAGCGTGCGAGCCCGGGAGCGGGAGATGGCCGTTCCCCTCGCCTGTTTCCAATTGTCGCCTGCTCAAGTTTTCGGCGGGGTTTGTTTTCCTTCTCCAAAGCCGCGTCTGCGCACATGAGCCAAAAATGGAAGCGTCTCATCTCAGATAAATTTAATGTATAGGCTCGGGGTATACGAGTGCCGGTGCGCGGGACGGACCCTTTCCGCGGAGCAGCCGTGCGGGTGGGAGCCGCGGGACAGGCGCAGCTGTGGCCCCCGCCGGCCGCCCAGTCCCATTCCCACTCTGGGACCGGTTGTTTCTGGTCCCTGCCTTTTCTGGTTTAACGCTTGCCTCTGCAAAATCTTAAATCGCAGGCTTTTTTGGGGACAGGGCCGCGTTCGGTCTCAGAGGGACGATAACCTCAGCGACAGCCTCTTTGCGACACAAATTCCCATCCTCCGCCACCACCTCGATGGCTGCTGGCACATAGATACATAGAGAGAGAGAGATTTACCTCCTTACATTAGAGGTGGTTTTTCTGGCTTTTAAGAAAAGCTCTCGGCTAGCTGGTACGTGGCAATGAGCCAGCGTCACGCACCTTCCTTTCCGCACGGTAGATGTGCCAAATCCCATCCCAGCCCCCGCCTAGGTCAGCTTGGTAAAGCCAGCTCTCAGTAAACCAACCGTGCGCTCCAGGCTGAGCTAGCAAACGCGAGCCCGGGTTAAAAACCACTCCTTTAATACAACCCAGCCCCGGGGTCTTTATCTGTAACGAATTGAGGTCTAACGAAGCGGTGCTTTCTCTCTTGCTAGGAATCTGCTCGGGGCTTGTACTAGCACTGGCTATGAATTATTCCTCTGCAGTTCCCAGGGGAAGAGAGCAGGGGGAATCCTGCTGGCTCCAGGCCGGGGAAGAGGCGAGCCCCCAGCGCCCGTGGGCCGGGAGGGGAAGGGTTCTCGGTTAACGGAGTGAAAAACCCACGCGCCTTTTGTTCGAGGGGCTTAGTCTGAAAAACATTTTTTTCATTCCAAAAACAAATGGGTCAGCACCAAATACTGGCACAGCTTGTGTTTTAATTAATCTGCTAATTTTAATTAATCTGATCGGGTAGTCTGACTCCCGTTTCACCTAGGCTCGAGGCTGGGCGGTGTAATCACGGAGCTGTGGCTTGGCTTCCCCGGGGCCAGGACGGAGCAGGGAGGAGGGCGGCTTCCCCGGGGCCGGCTGAGGATCCGTAAATCAGTGAGAGTACAGCTGAAGCCAAAAGGGGCACGGGGCAGGGTGCTGGGCATCGGGCAAGGAGCCGGAAAAGGGGAGCAAAACCAAGAGCTGATAGGGACTGCGCGGAAAGGGAAGTTCTTGTTTTTAAAAGGACAAGTTGTGGCAGCTTTTCTCGAAGGGCCTACAAGCTTTGGGTGATTTTCCTCTTGCTCGCCCAGGGAGACTGAGCCGCTCCTCCCCAGCAGGAACAGCTCGGCGCAGGAGGGAGCCCACGGCGCCGGGCTGAGGCGGCCATCTCCCGGCTGCGCCGCCGCTCCCCCTGCCCGCCCCAAGGCTTCTCTCCTGCCGGGGATGCGGCTCTTCCCCAACCGCTTCTCCTTCTGCGGTCAAGGAGCCACCGTGCTGGCGTGCAGGGCCCTGAGAGGGGGATAAATTCATCAGTGTCAGGGATTAATTCATCAAGTTGGGGATAAATTCACCAACGAGAGAAATCGGGACCAAAAACCAGACCGAGCAGAGAGGCAGCATCTTCTGCCTGGGTAACTGCCTCCGCAGCCAACCAGAAAGCGATGGAGCAGCCTCCCCGGGAAGCCCACGCAATGAAAACGTGGCCGAGGCAAGAAACGAGAAGTCAGAGAAACGGGGACTGTGAGACACATTAAGAAAGAGGCAGGAGCCGCCAGATGAACGGGCAAAATAAAACCAAAGGAGGCACGTGGGGCAAGGACTTGTTTTATAGACCCGTGAGCCACGCTAGTTAGAATAGGTACGCATGGACCAAAACACTTTGGTTACGCTGCTCCTTCCCTTCCTCCTTCTGAACTGGTTCCAGCCGCTGCTGTATCTTCCAGAAAGAGCTCGCTGGTGGGGACCTGAGGCCCACAGAGGTAAGTGGTGCTCGTGGTCGGGGCAGGTCGGTCATCTCTGTCCCCTCCCCGCCACAGCCCCTTAGGCTCTCCCACATTTGCCAGCACAGAGGAAGCTCTGGATCACCCTCGAGAGGCAGCAGGTGAAGCAGAGGGGAACGGGCTCAGCTGTGGGACATTAAGAGCAGCAAAGAGTGACCTTCTGAGGTACGAAATAATTCCCTCTTTAATCCCAATCGCATCATTGGTATCAAAGCAGCACGAGGTCTCTCAGCAGCATCCTCTGCCACCCGGCTGGGCGAAGTGGCTTAGCAGCACAACGTTGCACCCAGCAGCTCAAGTGCTCTTCTCCCAGGAGCCACCAGGGTGGAGGGGCCGGGTTGCCCGGCTTTAGGGCCAGCTTTCTCGTCTGCATCGCCCTGCTCTCGCTCCAGGGCAGCTCTCTGTCAGCTCTCCAAGCCATCGGCCTGCTCGCCGAGAAGAGCATCCCTCTCTTCGTGGGTACTGGGTCTTCCTCTCCGATAAGCAAGGAACTGGAAGGAGATCTGAGAAGAGGTTAAGGCTCTTCACACAAGCAAGGGTGGATCTACGCGATGTATTGGGTCTCACCACCCAAAAAAAGGCTGTTTGTGCCAGGAGAGGTGGAAACAGGACAACGAGCTTCACGCAAACAAGGCTCTGAAGCATTCAGCTGTTGCAACACCATAAATTACTCACTGGCACGCAGGTGAGCAAGCACAGCTCAAAAGCAACCGCTGAGTAGCATCAACCCACCCGCTCCTGCCTAACCCTGCGTGCCCCGAGACGGGATCGCTCCCTGCAAAGCCTTGCCGGCAGGATGCGATCCCGGAGGGAAGCGTCGGCGGGGAAAGGATACAACCACGTCGAGGGAAAGGACGCCCAGGCTGCCCACCAGCCAGGGGAGGTGGTGCAGGACGTAGTCGCCTTCGCTTTGTCCCGGCTCAGGGTTCTTCAGGAGGACGCTGAGGCCGTAAAGCGAGTTCCCCAGCATCACCAGGGCAAAGAGGGAGTAGGAGACCCCGGTGGTGGATTTCCTCTTGTACTGGAAGAAGAGGGGCCAGAGAGAGGGGAGCTTGG